TGGGGGAGAGCCCACGGCTGAGCACCTGCAGGCTCTCAGTGCCCTGGGCCTGCCCTGGCACAGACCACGGCGGCAAAGAGGCAAAGCGTCCCTTCTGGTTTCGGGGCATATCACCAAATCCCCATCCCCCCGCCGCCCGGGGTTTCCATCACTGCCTTTCCCCATCGCGTGGGCTCTTTGCCCCTCCAGACGGCACAGCTCCTCTCCAAAAATGCCAGTGCTGACCCAGAGTCCTCCGAGGCTTCAGACACTTGGGAGACCCCGAGTCCCTCCGTGGAACCCAGACAGTCTCGTGGAAAGAGAGGGGCCTGGGCCAGGACTTGAAGATCTGCGCCGACTGACCACGGCTGCTTATCCCTCGTGCTCGCTACCACAGGCAGACTGGCAGCCAGCACTGCTGGGGAGCCTGGGAGAAACAGAGCAGCTCAGGACCCCCCCAGAGCTGCTGGGTCAGACTCCGCCTCTTCACACATCCGCGGAGGACTCTGGACTCCGAGCCCCTGAGTCCACAGGTGGGCTCCCGTCTGCGTAGCAGGGACGAGAGTGCTGCATCTGCCTGGCCCCCTTCTGTGCAGCCCTGGAGTGGGGACCCCCAGCCAGGCTCAGCAAGCACAGACTCTGGCACCCTTATCCTCCGTGCTGGGAGCAAACATGCCGGCTGCCAGCGATGCCCGACAAACGGAGCTTTGCACACGCCCAGCTCGGAGGCCTCCATAGCCTCCTGCTGAGCCGCTCCCCCTCACAGGCTCAGCACTGCACAGATGGTGCACCCCAAGGACCCACAGCACTTCGGGCGGGAACACACAGCCCTGAGGGGCCACCATGAACTCAAAGCATCGCAGAAGCCTTTTGTCTTAAGTTTAAACTATGCAGCTTTGAGTGCTGCATTTCGTGACCTATCTACGTTCCTTTATTAAAAAAAAAAAAAAAAAAAAAGTGAGACTTATTTATCTGTCCATCGGTTCACTCCCCAAATGCCTGCAGCAGCCAGGGCTGGGGCAGGCCAACTGAAGCCTGGAGCCAGGAACTTCATCTGGGTCTCCCGTGTTCGTGGCAGGGACCCAAGTACTTGAGCCACCACGTCCTGCCTCCCAGGTGCATCGGCAGGAAGCTGGGTCAGGACTTGACGCCAGGCCTTCTCAGAAATGGGATGCGGGCGTCCTTAACCCAGTGTGCCACGATGCTGGCCTCGCTGAGTACAAATTGGTGGTTCCCTTTTTATTACAGAGTTCGCCCCCAATGCAGTGCCTGTGCTATGCTTGACCTGCCATCCAAGAAGCAGAGACCTTCCCTCTGAGGTTTCAAATTAAACACAGGCCCCTTAGACTCTGCTAACTCAAAGACGGAGTTCTCACAAGAGACACATTGGCTACTGCTGAATTCACAAACACAGCCAGTCCGGGCCTTGGGAATGTCTCCCCTGGTCCTACCAGACACAGTAAATTTCTAGATATGAGTGAACGACCTACCTACTTTGGGTTAAGTATCCAAAATGCCAAATTCTAACTGCTACAACTTGACTGCTTCACAGGACGTTTGTACAGAGAGTCACAGATTCGTGAGTGAGTCACGTGCCGCATCTGATCTCTCCTGCCTTTGTATTTCCCTCTGGGCCACGGCTGGAGCCACACTGCTCTCCCAACACCCTTCCTGCAGGTTCCAGCCCAGCCGTAACAGGACAGCCCCAGAGGGCAGGAAAGCCTCTTTCCCGTCCCCAGCACCACTGCTGCTAGGCCAGCGCCTCGGGTTTCAGTGACGGGGTGAGGGGGTGTTTTAATAGGACGCGTTTTCCCCCTTCAAAAAAAGGCTCTGGGATGCTCTGTTTCACTAAGTCTGCACTGCTGGAATACAAACGGAAATAACCAGTCGTTTGGCGCACATGAAACAGAGGCTAGAAGCATTACTTAAAGACTTCTTGAAAGCACACTTGTAGGTCTTTCACGCCGAAGTCAGCGTGCAGCTGCCCAGGAGCCGGGCCAGGTGTGCAGAGCTGGGCCCTCTCGGGAGGGAAACCTCAGGGGTCTGCAGAGGTAGGTGTGGAGCTGCCAGCGTGGGCCCACATGGCCGCAGACCCGGCTGGAAGGTTCTGGCATCTCTGGGCCCCGCGGATTGGCAGCAGGCACCAGCAGAGGCGGAAAGAGACGTTTCAAAGACAGACATCATACCTCCCTCCCTTCCATACTGCAGTCGCACTGCCAACCTCCACCGCGGGCGGCTGGGAGGGGGGTGCCAGCTGAGGTAAGTCCTCTAAAAAGTGCTTTCCATTCAGGGCTGGTCCCTGGCCAGCAGGGAGACACATGGGCACACGGAACACACGCCCAGTACAGCTACCGACGGGGCCTTCCTGTGGGAAGGGGGCCCACAACAGGAAGCACAGCAGGGCCCACACCCTGTGGCTCACGTGGGGCATCTGTGGCCGCAGCCCAGGGCTGTGTGCAGCTCAGCTCCTGCCGCTGGCTGTCACTACTCTGTGGTTGGGGGAAAGTGGTTTAAGCTACCCCAAGCCTCCACACCTCCATTTGCTAAACGAGCATAATAAAAATCCCAACTGCCGGGACCAGCGGGTAAGGCCACCACCTGTGATGCCGGCATCCTGTTTGGGCATTGGTCCGTGTCTCAGCTGCTCTACTTCTGATCCAGCTCCCTGCTAAGGTGCCTGGGAAAAATGGCGAAAGATGGTCCAAGTGTTTGGGTCCCTGCCACCCATGTGGGAGACCTGGAAGAAGCTTCTGGTTCTTGGCTTCAGTTTGGCTCTGCCCTGGCTGTTGGAGAGTGAACCAGTAGATGGAAGATATTTCCCTCTCTCTCTCTCTCTTTAAAACTCCGTCTTTCAAATAAATAAATCTTTAAAAACAAATCCCAACTTTCCTGAAGTTGAGAGGCATTAAGAGAAGTAATTCATGTAAAGCATTCAGCAGGTATAGAAAGGGCACAGTGTGTGACAATCACTTTTATACCAGTCAGTCTCGGAGACATCTACCGTCTCTTTTCTCCTTCTCACACACACACAGGGTAGCTACAGAATGATCCAGAAATCCAAGCAGCATTTCCCAATTCTGAAAAGAGAACAGCAAGGATACAAGCCGACCGAGACACAGGCAACACTGAACAAACACCGTCCCTGTAGGAATCTAAGCAACTGATCTGCCTTTCTTTCAGACCCTGCAAGCTGCAGGGGGCTGATGATAAGCACATAGTGAGAGCTACAGGAGGAAAGTACAGTGGAAATCATCAGGACTAGGAAATCAGGAACGTCTGCAGTGGGGGAGATAACGTGAACCAGAGTGGATGGAAAAGGAGGTTTCTTTTTTTAAAGATTTATTTATTTGATTTATTTATTTGAGAGACAGTGTTACAGACTGAGAGAGGGAGACATAGATCTTCCATCTACTGGTTCACTCCCCAAATGGCCCCAACAGCCAGAACCAATCCGGAGCCATGAGCCAGGAGCTTCTTCAGGGGCCCCAGGACTTGGGCCATCTTCTACTGCTTTCCCAGGCCATAGCAGGGAGCTGGATTGGAAGTGGACCACATAGGAATCAAACCAGCGCTGCAGGCAGAGGCTTAACCTACTACCCCACAGTGCTGGCCCCAGGAAAAGGAGATGTCATGCAGTGATGCAGAAGAGGTGAGGGGCCAGCTCGTGCAAAGGCCCTGGTGTGAGCTGAGAGGCAGGCTCCTGCAGGAGCACCTGGCACTCCACAGGGGTCTCAGGACCCCTCCCTGCAGGAAGAGGTGGCACTGACTGCGGGCTGATGAATCCAAGATGACTTCGGCCTAGGGACGGAGGAGCAGAATCCATGCCCAGCCCTGCTCTGTTCTGTTCTGTTCAGCATTGTCATCGATCGCTTAAAGTCACCGAGGCCAAGCCCAGAAGCCTATACACAACCATGCACAACTCACCAACCAGAAAGCAACCCCAAAACGATCCCACCGAGACTGGCCCGGCTGATGGTCACCTGAGCGCTAGGAGGAAGAAAAGCTGCCAAGCAGACAGGAATCAGTCCAGTTTCCAGTGAGCAAATTGCACCCCAAAGAACCAGCCACACTAAGAGTCAGGAGCCAGAGTTAACCACTCAGCAAAAACAGGCCACCAGCGAAGTCCACACGGCAGAGCAGCAGCCGCCTCCCGAGACCACCGGGCGGGGGCGCCCAGCAGGGACAAGCGCGAGTGGCCAGGAGAAGATTTCCCTTAACCCAAGTGGCGGCTTGCACAGTCCTGGGTGGCATGAGGGACAGAAAGCAGAAGCTTCAGAGACCGGACCAGGTGCAGGAGGCGAAGCCACCAGGCCACAGGACTGGGCTCACTGCTAGAAGGCTCATTTGAAACTGTGCTGAGTGGGAATGGGCAGTTTCTCTGTGGTCATCCACGCGGCTGGTGCACCCTGGGCATTGTGCCAGCACTGTAGCACACATATTCTCACACTTCAGTCTACACAGCCACGTCCAGCAAGGTGTGGCCAGCGCGAGATGCTGTCGCCCTGTTTCACATATGGATTAGATCTGGGCTCCCTCGGGAGTCTTCCTGGGACCTTTCCCCTCCCCTCTGGTCACAGCCAGGGCCACAGGTGCCATGAGCAAGGCCCAGCCTGGCCATCGCACTTGAGAGGGATCTCAGCCCGACCGCAGGGCTTAGCGGCTCCTCTTCTGAAGTGCAGGGGCCGAGGCCATGAGGAGCAGATGTGGGTGGGGGAGAAGACTCCACCCCGGGAACATTCTGAACTTCGGGCGTCTTTGAGAAGCCCAGCAGTGACAACAGTGATCGGGGAGCAGAGGAGAGGGAGGGCGTGCCAGCGTGTTCAGGTCAGCAGCTTCAGCGCCATGATGCTGGGATCTGAGCGCAGACCCCCGGGGTGTGGGGGCCGGGCCTGCGCCCCGCCCACCGGGACATGAGCACTCTGCTCCCACAGTCAGAGGACATCACCGTGAATAAGCTGGAGGTGCCTCAGCCCCTCCGACGCCACTCCCAGCCCTGCCGGGACGAGGGACCCCTCGCTTACCTTCATATCGGCCGGGCGAGTCGCCCGCTTTTTGCGGGGTGGCCACCCGGAGGAAGATCTGCTGCCGCCACGAGTGTCTGCGCGCCTTCACGGGGGTCCCGCCAGGGTCCCCCACGTGGTTGGCTTTGGGCTCAGAGTTCCTGAAACGACGAGACAGCTGGTTGGTGACTGCAGGAGAGGAGTTCGTGGGGTTTAGCACGACCGCTTTTCAACAGAGCACGGAATCATGAATTATCTGTGCAGAAACAGCAGGTGGCACGTGGCAGCGACCCCTGCCGGAGAAGGCTGCACGGCATTGCGCCCCAGCCGTCCTCGCTGGACGCCCCTTCTGGAACCAGAGACCTCCTGCCAGAGGCCGCCACGGCTCCAGCCCGAGCCCGCCAGCATTTCCTCAGTGTGGCTGCCCGGGAAAATGAAAGAGCCGCAGTTGGTTTGCACAGACCCATCAAGGCAATAATCAGGGTGTCACTGTTTGCTCATGGTTGTTGTCAACCTTTGTGTTTTACAAAGGACAATTCAAAGCATAGTTGTGGATATGTACTGTCAATTCCTTAATTGGCTTCCGGTTCACAGTGTCCTTGGGGAGGCCCCAGAAACCTCCCCCCAGGGGGTACCCAGAAGGAAGCACGCCCCTCAGCTGCAGATCCCACGCCCTAGCCGGCCTCACCACCCGGAGACCCTGCTCCCGCTAGAGAACTGCTGAGGGCGTAACACACCGAAGATGGTAACCATACGTTCACCAATGAACCCTAGTGCCGACTGGGGAACAGGCCACACCGGTTCTTTTACATGACGTTCAGCAAGACAAGTCAAAGGAGCCACAACTGATTTCGCTACAATGATTTCTTAAATGGCCAAAGAACAGTTAAGCAAGATAAACGCCACCGTATCCCAAAATAATCAACACAGAACGCTCAGGTGTGATTATCTAAGTTGAGCCCTACCTTTTTGTGCTCATAAAGTCAGAGGTGTTATTTTCGTCTACAGGAGCCAGAAATTTTAGAAAATTTGGCACAGAGGAAGAGGAATGAAGTTTTTTCCGCAGGGCAGTACGGTAGGAGATGCTGAGAGTTTGGTTGAAAAGAGAGTTTAGGATAAAGAAACATAAATACACAAACCATAAAACGTTAAGTTTCAAAACAAAAAGAAACATTCCCGTTCAGAGAACAAGAGATGTCAACAAGAAAATCAGTTTACAAATGACATTTAAGTCAATAATAAAATTCGATTTTAAATGAACAAGATCTGTGACTTAATCTTCCAATGACTTCCTTTGAAATTGGGAAAAACCACTGTTCCCAAGCAGAGGAAATCGCTGATACGGCACAAACTGCAGTGTTCACAATCAGACGCAGTTGTTAACCCGTGGGCGCATGCGCGTGTGCACACGAGGGCAGGGGCATGTGCACATCGAGTGTGAAACACCAGACCGCCAACAAGACCCATGTGCATGATCGTTTTAAGAAGGTTAAACTGATGGCAAAGTTAAGTCAGTTCAAACGACAGGCTGAAGACAGTAAAGCCAAAAACCAGCCACAACACAAGCACACACACACACACACACACACACACACAAGTGTGGCGCACAGTGACCAGCTTCGGCGCAGTGCGTGACTGTGCCAGTGTGAGCTCCCCCGGGGAAGACACATGCGTGGACCACACTGAGCCTGCCATGCGAGTGCTCACCTCTTCGGCACAGCATTCCCACCTTGCTCTCCACTGGAATTATGTTTTAGGTACTTAAAAAAGTTTGGCGAGGAGGCGGAGGGGTTAAGACGAGGTGGCGGAGCCGGACGCAGGCCTGAGCAAGGTCCAGACTCGCCCGCAGGCGCATGGTCCCCACTGAAGGGCAATTAGAGAAAGCACAGGGGTTAGCGGGCCTAGGAGGGGAGAGGAGGCACGGGACTCCCCGAGCCCCGCCCCGGGTGGCCTGCGCTCCCCTAACTCCCTTTCCTCCAGTGGGTTTTTGGGAAACCAACAGGAAAAAACTTAAACAAAAGAAAAAGAATTCCACATTTTCAAAAAACACATTTCCCTTTAAAATGAACAATATCCGGTCCTGAATGTCGATGTCTTGTTTCCTGCAGATAAAGGAGAGGGGAGTGAAACGGGCACCAGAGATACACTTGCTGGTGCCTCTGATCCCTGGGGACCGGGGAGCAGGCAGGGCAGGAGGCGCGCCGCCTCTGGCCAGCCACAGAACCGCAAGGCTGCAGCTCGCTGTCCAGCTGGAGGAAGGAGTGGGCGTGGGCTGCGTGGGGCAGGGGGTCAGCTCCAACCCTCCTGCCCGCGTCCTGCAGTGCCCTATCTATTAAACAGCTCTGCAGGACGTCCTGCTCTGGTGACCACAGTGACTCAGCTGGATCCAAGGCACCTGTCACGGTTCCCAGAGCAGAGTAAGAAAGCAGCTCCATGTCACGCCAACGCCGCAGCTGCCACGCCTTCTCTGCCACCTTGGCTGCCCCTGCAAGTCCACCAAGCCTGCACCCCCGGCCGCTGCTGCAGTGTCAGGGCGGGGCAGCGACAGGACACGGTGCTGCCAACAGTTTGGAAAAGGGGCTGAAAGATGGCCCTGGGTCCACTGAGAGGCTCGGGCCCTGGCAGGCACAGGGCGAAGATCCACCACTCCCACTCCACTGCTGCCCCCTCTCTATAACCAGAAAATCCCAGCTGTTCAGTAGAGCCCAACTACGCGAGTCAGTAAATCCCGAGAAGAATCTAGAATTCGCCCAGTGAAAAAAAAGTCTAGAAAACTCCGACCCCAGTATTTTCAGTCACTCAGTGACCACACCCAGCTCACAACTAGCACACAGCAGGGCTGGGGCCTGACCCCCAGCCTGCTGGGCCGATCACAGGCACCCACACTGCCCCCTGCTGGCCAGCACCATTTGACCCTCTGCAGTCACTGTCTCTCCACGCCACTGCAGCTCTGCCCCCAACTGCTACAGCCGCAGGGTTCCAAAGCCCGCCGAGGACCTGTCACACGTGTGACATGAGGGACCACTCCTGCCCCCTTTTATCTGACTCCTGGCGACACCTGCGCCTCTCCAAGTAACCAGGAATCCCCCCACATCCACATACCTCCTAAGGGAGCTGCCCGCGTCAAGGCCAGAGTGCAACCTGACCAGGGCTTCTCTTTGACCCAGTAAACACCCAGGATGCACACACCTGGTTAGTCCCAGGAAGGCCCCCGCTATCTACACAACAAATTCCCATCCTGAACAAATCTTACTTGTGCTCATGAGGTGTCTCTGTGCTCACTGAGTGGTACCTCACGAGTTTTCTCTGCGAGACCCCCGGCGAGTCCTGGGCAGGCCCGGGGGGCTCCGGGCACTCCACGGGGAAGTGACTCAGGGTGTTCGCCCGCCTCCTGAAGGCCTGCTGCGGCGACAGTGGCGTGGGCTCTTGGGCAGGCCGGCTCTCCGAGTCGCTGCTCAGGTCATCCGAGGAGCCGGGGAGCTTGAAGGAGCTCTCGGGGACGGGCGAGGCCTCCTTTTCACCCACGGACAGCTCCTGGCAGCAAACACACAGCAGGTCAGACACAGGGGACATGCGGGGTACACACAGCTCCTACCCCAGCACAGGGAACACCCTACTAGGGGACCACGTCTGGTGGGAAGACCACCAACACTAGGGAAATAAAGGTCCGTTGGACACCTGCTTGTCAGAGACAAGATGTGAGTGTGAAGGGGAAAAGCCACAGTGAGACTTTGCCAGACACGTGACTGCCCCAGGCCATGCTGGGGTACCACCAGGACCCTCTCTCTAGAACACGGCACTGCTCACGTCTGCACACGTGGCATGCGGGGAGTGTGCCTGGCCTGTCCCCGCCTGTCCTTGCCAAGTGTCTCACACCTGTCATCCACACTGCACAGTTGGTTCAGAGCCTGATCTAGTGGTGAGATTGAACCTGGCCATCCTGAGTGGAAAACCATGTCCCACACTACTCTCGGAGCACACAATCCCTCTAAGGCATGGACTGCCACGGCTCAGGAGAAGTGCTTAACTACTTCTGGCACCTCAGTGTCCTGACCTGGAAAGGGAGTACGGTGCAGAGCTATCACACTGGGTCTCAAGAAGGAAGCAGCACAACACAACTGAAAGTGCTTTGTACACTGTAAAACACTACACACATTGTGAGTCACTGCTTTGTTAAGTACACGATGAACTCCGAGTGGGAATCGAACTCCAGCCGAGAATCATGACGATACTGTAACACTGCATGCCTTCCAGGTGCACCCTTCTCAAAGCAATCAAACACTAACACTCCCCCTAGCAGTGCTGGGCACTGGACGGCAGTGTATTCTTTTCAAATCAAAAAATGTAAAGTAAGGAGCAGGTGCTTAGTCTAGCAGGTAAAACGCCCCCATCCCACATCGGGATGCCTGGTTTGAATCCCGACTCCATCTTCCTACTGATGCAGCAGGTGATGACTCGGGAACTGGCTTCCTGCCATCCACGTGGGAGACCTGGGTGGAGTTAGCGGCTGCTGGCTCTGGCTCCTGCCTCCAGCCATGGCTACTGTGGGCATCTGGAAAGTGAACCAGCAAACGGGAGTGCTCTGTGTCTGTCTCTGATTCTGTCTCCCTGTCTCTCACATTTTATTTTATTTTATTTTTTAAAATTTATTTGACAGGTAGAATTAGAGAGAGAGAGACAGAGAGAGACAGAGAAAGGTCTTCCTTCCGTTGGTTCACTCCCCTAATGGCCGCCACGGCTGGCACTGTGCCAATCCAAAGCCAGGAGCCAGGTGCTTCCTCCTGGTCTCCCATGGGGTGCAGGGCCCAAGCACTTGGGCCATCCTCCACTGCCCTCCCAGGCCACAGCAGAGAGCTGGACTGGAAGAGGAGCAACCGGGACTAGAACCCAGCAACCATGTGGGATGCCGGTGCCACAGGCAGAGGATTAGCCAAGTGAGCCACGGCGCTGGCCCCTCTCACATTTTTTTAAAGTTAAAATACATAGGAAAGAAGAGGAAGGGTACCTGGTTGCCACAACTAAATCTGCACTTTAACCAGAACCCCATTACAAATGCACCTTAAAATTCAAAAAGCTCTCATCTAGGGGAGTGTTTCTTAAACTGTACGCTATAACACAAAAATAGTGGTATCAATTGTGTGGCTTGTCACAAGCATTTTAAAAATAAAACAAAAATACCAACACATGCTGTTCACAGCAATATTGTTTTGAAAACTTGTAATTATGTCCGTGTGTGTAGACAGTTGTGTTTGTGAATCTTGAAACAATGCTAAATGTGTTTCTTAGTTTTGCTCATGGTCTAAACACCTTGAAAGCCACAGGTGTTATGGCACAGCAAGCTAAGCTGCTACCTGTGACACTGGCCTCCCATTTGGGTACTGCTTCAGGTCCAGGCTGCTCCAGTTCCAAAACAGCTTCCTGCTAATGCACCTGAGAAAGCAGTGGAAGGTGGCCCCAGTGCTTGGGCCCCTGTATCCATGTGGGAGACCCGGATGAAGCTCCTGGCTTCTACCTGACACAGCCTCGACCATGGCAGCCATTCGGGGACCAGTGGATAGAAGAGGTCTCTCTCTGTCTCTCTCTCTCTGTCTCTCTGTCTCCCTCCCCCACCTCCCATAACTCTGCCTTTGAAATAAATAATAAATACGTCTTTTTTAAAGCAGCCACTCCTAGACAAGGAGTGGTGGCAGAGGAATGGAAATGCTGCCTGGGGGTGGTGGGGGGAGGAACCGGCCCCCACGGCAGTGTCCCTGTTCCAGCATCAGAGGGTGCTCTGAGAGCAGACACAGCTGCCCCCACCCCAGCACATAAAGTTGAACCAAACCAGATGTAAACACCCTTGAGTGTCTAGAATGAATGATACTAAGACAGGAGATAGGCACAGACACAACCGCTAGCTCACTCATGAGCACCAAGCTGTGCCTGGGCGGCAGACGGCCTGGGGAAAGCTTAGTCACTTATATAAGAAAACAGCAACAATGAACTACAACCAGGGGGCATTTCAGTGGCATCCTTCTCAGAACTCACAGCCCCACTTTGGAGGCCTCCCCAGTTTGAGGTATCTTTATTACTTGGGAAAGGAATCCACCGGCTGTGTTGTGATAGACTGTGATCGGCTTTCTTTGCTATGTGAAAGCGGTGTGTCCTGAGCAGCTGAAGTGAGCACGTGAGGCTCTTCTCGTTCCTTCCCACAGAGCCCTGGAGGTAGAGGAGGAGCGAGGCCCAGCTGCTGGGTCCCTCAGGTGGCAAAGAGGAAAGTGCTTACCTTGCTGGAGTTACTTAACGTGCTCGACACGGAGCTGTCGAGGTCCACGCTGGCGGAATGTTCCTGCAGGCCTCTGGCTTTATTACCCTACATAAAGAACAGACAGAGTTATGAGCCCTGGGGCCCTTGCCAAGTCCTCTGCTGGAAGCAGCTTGGTCTACTTAAATAAACTCAGGAAAAACACACCTGGTGAGACAGGCTGCTACGCATCTATGGACTTAAGACAATCGACAGCTCTGTTCTGTATGAAAATGTGACACCAACCTAATGTTCCAGAACATTCTGCAGCTTAATCATTAGGCAGCGAGGCCGGCTGGAAAACAAGCAGGGGCTCAACAACTCTTCCTGAGTCCCCAGTGGTCACACCGGGCAGCTGCGTGTCACCACCAGCGATGTCCTACCACTTGGGGACTCTCAAACACAGCCCTTCCCACGCCTGCGTTTATAAATGGACTGTTTGGAATTATCTTGGAGGATGTTGCAAAATTCTCAGAAACATCTTCAGCCAAAATAAAATCTAACGTTAGCTGGGAAAAATAAATAAAGCACATGTTTCAAAGGGAGGGTGTCATAAAATCAAAAAGTACCATAATAAGGTATGGTAAGCGCCAGGAAGGTACAGAATTTGGACCAAAATACTGAACGTTGACTTCTTAGATGTGTCATCAAGGCTAGTCACACACCTGGGGAGAGGAGGGACTTCCCGGAGAAGTCCCAGACTGGGGCACATGGGTACTCTGTCTTCCTACGGAGCCGTAGTTGGCAAACTCCCTCTGGAAAGGCCACAGGCACCTGTGAGAGCCGCTCAACTCTGCACAAAAGCAGCCTCAGAAACAGGGAAGCAAATGGACGCAGCTGGTCTCAATAAAACTTTATTTGCAAAAACAGGAGGCAGGAGGGATTTGAAGCCCGTGGGCCAGTTTGTGGACCTTTCTGCTAGAGAGAGTTCCAGACGCCTGACAGCAGCTGACAGCACCTGCCCTCGTGCCCCGTGACAGAGCACAGCCCACCCCCCAGCGTGGCGAACACCAGCTCTGCTCAGGGACTGGACAACAGCCACTCACAGTCCCATGAGGGACAAGATGGCCCATGGGGTGTAAGACAAACGTCTGGAGATATTTTTGAAAACCTATCACAGTTACATACAAATAAGAATGTAGATACAATGCTCTAAGAATGAGAAGACATATAAAAGGTTTTACGTGTTTGTACTTTACGATAAACACTGATGAAATAAAAGCAGAGGGGTCAATCTTACATTCCCCTAAAAAGTGACTTAAACTGGGAGAAATCGCACGACTTACTCGGGACAGGATGCTCTCCAAGGACTCTGTCAGAGACCTCTTTGCTTTGGTTCTCAGCATGTCCAGCCTAAAGCGAGTGGCACTAGGTGGTAATTCACTTCCAGGATTCTCTGCTGCAGCCTGCGACGGCTGAGAAGGGAAACAATGAGAAGCTGAGCCACTGAAGCTTTCCCTCCTGCTGAGGTGAGGGCGGGGCTCCAGGACACGTCTTGGTGCTGTTGTTTTGACAGGCAGAGTTAGACAGTGAGAGAGAGAGACAGAAAGGTCTTCCTTCTGCTGGTTCACCCCCCAAATGGCCGCTACAGCCAGCGCTGCGCCGATCTGAAGCCAGGAGCCAGGTGCTTCCTCCTGGTCTCCCATGCAGGTGCAGGGGCCCAAGCACTTGGGCCATCCTCCACTGCACTCCCAGGCCACAGCAGAGAGCTGGACTGGAAGAGGAGCAACCGGGACTAGAACCTGGCCCATATAGGATGCCAGCGTCGCAGGCGGAGGATTAACCAAGTGAGCCACGGCGCCAGCCCCAAGGACACATCTTTGTGACACAAAGTCCTAATATGTCTGTGATCGCATTTCATCTGCTCCAGGTCCAGAGATAATTCTGCCTCAAAGAGCTGCGTTGGCTGTCCCAAATGAAATGAGAAAGTGTGCTTTGAAACCAGTCAGGTAAAGCAGTTCAGATCGCAGGCCCTGCAACTGGACCAGAGATCTGGCACTGCCCAGCCGTGGCCCCTGCACACTTCTTCTTTGTCGCTGGATAAGCTGAGACCCACAAGAAGATCTAGTCCCAACGCTGTGCTCTGCGATTCAGAGGTAAAGGGTATCAAGCGAGTGCTGCCTAGGCCAAGGCAGCTGCTGAACGCTTTCCAAAGCAAAGCAGTAACTTACCTCGGGGCACTGCAGAGAGTTCCACTGAGAAAGCTGCTCTCTGTACACTAGTCCCTCCCTCCCCCCGCAGGTCTCAGGCGTCCCTGCTCTGTGTCCATCACCCCGTCCATCCTCCTCTAAAGCAATCCCAGGGCTGACAGGCCCTAACCAAGGGCCATGCTTCTTGCTAATGAGGAGGTGTGCTTAAATTGCCTCTGCGTGGATTCTCACCTGACTGCTTCCTGGTAAGACAATGACTTTGTTAGAAACAAACCAGCGAATCCCCCGTGACACACTCTTCCTTCTCACTTGTTAACGTTTTTCAAGCATGCAGGAAAGTGGAGAAGTGAACTAGCAAACATCTCTGCCCAGCACCCAGCACCCAGCACCCAGCACCCAGCTCGGGCAGGGCACCATCGAGAGCCGTGAGGAGCGGGCTGGAAGGCTTCGCTGCTGCCCCCCAGGGCCTGCGGAGCCCCTGCACGGCGAGGCCACACACTGAGCCTTCCTCACAGAGCTGCTGCGAGTCAGTGAACCGACACACATCAGAACACTGGAACAAGCTCGCCCCTCAACAGGCCTCCTCCACTAGGACTGTCAGCAACTCCGCTTCCTCCTGTGAGCGGGAATCCGTACAAAGCCTGGGCAGCCTGCCTCTGCTGTCCCCGCCGCCACCGCCTACCACTCCCTCACCTGAACCCGGTGTTAACCGCATCAGGTCCCAGTTTGTCCTCTGCTACGTATCTGTCCATAAAACACATACGCTGGCTGACACACACAGCTGACACTTCAAATGAACAGACTCATACTGTACATGCCCTTCGGAAATTAGCTCTTGGCTTCCAATGTTATTTTTGAGAGTTATCCATGATGAGATTGATCCACGTTCTTTGACTCACTCACGTTAGCTTCCTAGCCTGTATTTCACTAAATAGCCATTTCATGCGTGTTCCTGTTGCGAAACATTTATTCTATTTTTGTTTCATTTTGCTCTCATGGAGGTGGCAGCCATGAGCCCATTTGGTGAGGTGAGTACGTGGGATACAGGGGAATCATCCACAAAGGGGCCTGCCTGCAACACAACCCCAGCTGATGCTTCGACATATTAAGAAAATGCTAACAAAGAAAGCACATCAGCTGGTCCACTCCACAAAGACGAAAAACTGCACTCCTGAGTGTGCGTGTGTGTGTGTGTGTGTGCGCGCGTAAACCAGGCTTGGAGAATCAATCACTGCACACTTAACCGAATTCCACTTCTGCTCTCCTCTTCTGCCAAAGATTCTTTTCTATGTTTGTTGCCATAATTCAAATATAATCTTAAAATAATCTGCACTTACAAAATAATCCATGTTTAGTAAAAGAACAGATTCCCTGGTTATCTTGAAGGAAGCATCTAGAAGTTTCTCCTTCAAAGATGGTGCTGGTTCCTAGCGCCCTCGGGGGGCTCCACGGTGGATTCCACTGCCCTCCTCTGCCACGGGGAAGCGCTGAGCATGAGAACTTGGAGACAAGCTTTGCATTCCAGTGCTGCAACGAGCTTCTCAACTCAGAACCCACCACCGGCCTTCGTCACAACACAGCAGCTCAGGTGTCCACCAAAGGCGACTGGCGAAACCACCGGGGATATTGACACAAGGGGATGGAAAGGAACAAGCTGACACACATGCAGCATGGCTCTCAGAACTGTCACGCAGCTAAGCGGCAGAAGGACCGACTGGAAAGGGAGCACAGGGGTTCCTTCAGGGAAATTCTTTTATAAAGATTTATTTCATTTATTTGAAAGACAGAGTTACAAAAAGAGGTAGAGACAGAGAGAGAAAAAGAGAGAGGTCTTCCATCCACTGGTTCATGCCCCAGATGGCTGCAAAGCCAGAGGTGAGCCGATCCCAAGCTAGGAGCTCCTTCTGGGTCTCCCACGTGGGTGCAGGGGCCCAAGGACTTGGGTCATCTTCTAGTGCTCTCCCAGGCCATAGCAGAGAGCTGGATGGGAATTGGAGCAGCCAGGACTGGAACCAGCACCCACATGGGATGTCGGTTCTACAGGCCAGGGCTTTAACCCGCTGCACCACAGCATCAGTCCCGAGGTGACGTATCTTGATAGAGGTTTGGGCCACCTGAGTGTAGCAGTCCTTAACCCCTGACAGACAGTCACTCGGGATTTATGTGGGGCAGGTGTCTGGCTGAGCGATGAAGACACCTGCATCCCTCATCAGAGAGCCTGGGTTCACATTTCAGCCCTGGCTGAAGATTCTGGCTTCCTGCTAACGTAGACCCTGGGAGGCTACGTGTTAGCTCAAGTGCCTGAGCTGCTGCCATCCATGTGAGGCATCTAAAATTGAGTTCCTGGCTCCCAACTTTGGCCTGGCTAAGCCCCAATCACTGATAGTATTTGGAAAGTGAGCCAGGAATGGAAGCTGTCTTTTCAACTCCCAACTCTGTCTTCTCACAAATAATAATTCATAAAAGGGGGAAAAAAAAAAAAGACTGGGGGTGGGCATTGTCATGCATTGGCTTACCGCTTGGCACACCCACATTCCATATCAGAGCTCCTGCTAATTTGCTGGGGAGCCAGCAGATGATGGCCCAAGGACTTGAGTTCCTGTCACCCTGTGGGAAATCCAGATGAAGCCTCTGGCTCCTAGCTTTGGCCTCGCTCAGCTCCAATTGTTATAGGCATTTGAGGAGTGAACCAGCAGATGCCTCTCTGTCTCTCCCTCTCTGTCATTCTGCCTTTCAAATAAATAAATAAATCTTTAAAAGAGAAAGAAAAAAAAAAAGACTAGAATGGGTGTTGTGGCACAGCATCTTAAGCCGTCACTGGGAACACCATATCCCACACTGGAGTGCCTGGTTCAAATCCCAGCTGTTCTGCTTCTGACCCATCTAGAAAACAGCTGCTTCCTCTGCAAAACCTGCTGCTCAGGGAAGAAGAGGGCGTCCAGCCAGGGGGGATGTCAGCCACACGTGCGCTCAGGGCCGCTGCATGAGCCTTCCAGCTCACCGAGCGTTCAGAGACCCTTAGTGAAAGTGCGGCACGGACACCGGCTCTGCTGTGAACCTCCGGCTGTTACAGTCAGTTCTCCACTGTTTTGAAAATGGAAACAAAAATCACATTAAATATATGTCTCTACTGGAATGACCCATCAAAGTCACACAGACACTACCCTGGTCTATAAAAGTGAGTTTGCACTGAGGCCAACACTTTTGACCCGTCACACGTGCTCAAACATGTTTACTAACAGACGGCTTTCCATCCACAATAAATGCTTCATTCCCCTTCCCGAGTTATAAATGACGTGCTCCACCGTAAGTGATCAATTTCCAGTTGGAATAAGTCAGACGGACCCAGACAAAAGGAAATCCAAGCAGGGGTAAAGCTGTGAGTGGCAGAAGATGGTAACAACAACCGGGCAGGGGAGAGTGGAACAGTGAAAACGAACAGGTTGAAAAGTGAACGAGAGGATTAATTGCACACCTACCTGGGGGGCCCAGCCACAAGACAACTGGAGGGCACAGCACCCCCAGGCCGTGGCACAGGCTGGGAAGGCAGCAACAGCAACAAACCAAAGCACACACATTATACCAGTGCCACAGTCACCACGAAGGGGCCTTCAGGTGGCCAACAGGATAAAAAAAACAAACAACGTTAGGCTCTGTCCATGAGCTCCGAGAGTTCAGAAAAGGCCCCTGATGACCAAAGTCAGCTGGAAGGCAGAAATCAAACGAGAGAGCTGCTAAGTGTGCAACCAGGTGAAACCGCACCCCTAGTGCCCCTTACCAGACAGGGAGGCCACCTGGCGGCTGGAGAACAAGAGGAGGACAGGCCACCGAGCAGTGAAGTGCTGTGAGACAAGCATTCAGGGCTTGAGACAGAAAAAGGCAACACGCTTTTGGACAACTAGGAACTTGAACATCCACTACCAATTTTCCTCTAAATTTTCTTGCCTAGGGGCTGGCGCTGTGGCATAGCGGGTTAAGTCGCCACCTGCAGTGTTGGCATCCCATGTGGACACAAGTTTGAGACCCGGCTGCTCCACTGCTGATCCAGCTCTGTGCTATGGCCTGGGAAAGCAGTGGAAGATGGCCCCTGCACCCACAAGTTGCTCCTGGCTCCTAGCTTCGGGTTGGTGCAGCTCCGGCTGCCAATTGGGTAGTGAACCAGTGGATGGAAGACCTTTCTCTCTCTCTCTGCCTCTCCTCCTCTCTCTGTGTTACTCTGACTTTCAAATACATAAATAAATCTTTAAAAAATAAAAAAAATAAATTTTCTTGCCAACAAGAAACTTCTCCAAAGATAAAATGCATATGGTTTTAAGCACTTAATGGTTTGCTAGGAACTGAATCACATGGTGTACAAAAGACACAGGAAAATGTTTTATGGCACCGTGTGTACCGAATCCCACACCTCTGACATAGCACCCCACCAACACCTCAATAAAGCTGGTGGGCAGTGGAGGATGGGGGGGGGGGACAGATCTGCCCGCCCATCACGCAAAATGCAGTCAGTGCAAGTTCTGTATGCGAACAGCACACACCAGGATCTCCAACACTGCCCCTGACTTTGTTAATACCATCTTACATTCACATTGTTTCCATTGCAAGGCGCTTGGGGGCACTTCTTGAGTCTCCACAGGCAATGGGAAAATGCCATTCCCATTTTGCAAGGGACAAAGATGAGGTGGCAGAGACTGGTTCCCAGCCAGCCGTGCAGCTCCCCACGGCAGCACACGCTCTGAGACTTAACCCTGGGTGCCCTGAGCCAGTCTTCTCACCAGCGCACACCCCAGCCCCACTAGATGCAGACACAAACTGTTCTCATCTCGGCCAAGCAAAACCTAACACTCCCAAGCTTTTCCCTCTGTGTGCAACAGATGAAAATAAAACACAAGAGGAGAAGAGGTCTCAGTGTGCGGGAATGCTCAGGCTTGTGGTGTACCACGTGCGGGTAAAACCGGAAGAGACAAAATGCCTCACCTGCTTCATCTCCCCAGCGTGCACATGTTCCTTCTGTTTCTCCTCATACAGGCATCTCAGAAAAGAGATAATCAGCTCATTCTCTCGCTGTTCGTTCCTTGGTCTCAGTTTCTTTAAGAAAAAAAAAAAATCAGAAACAGGATACATTACATTTATTTTTAATTGTCACCAAAGTTCCTAAACCATCCCTTTGGAAACGCCAGCAGCTTCCATACAGGAACCGGTGCTTTGATCAGATCATTTCACTAGGGGGCACCAACGACCCTAACAGTGAAGACAGTTTTTAAAGAGGAACAGTGAGGCTGGTTGGTCAGATTTTTAGCTTTTGACCTCTCCTGTCTTCTAACCCAAAATAAATTTTTAACATCAGAGAGAGGCAGAGTCAAAATTTTCAATAAATAAATAGTTCTAAAACAGAAGGAAAAAATAAAATCTATATAAACAGGCAGCGGTCAGAGGTCACGATGCCGGCACATTCATCACCTCTTAAGGTTAGGGAACTGGCCACAGCTCAGGGGTGTGGCTTCCCAAGTCAGATGCACTCACCGTGACGCACATTCTAGAAGCCCTCTGAGACAGGCGCTTGCACACACAACCTCATGGCAGGCCATTTCTTTTTCCTTTCTTTTTTATAAACCCTCTCTGTGCCTTTTAAGTTTTAGACAGGGCAGTGGCACCGAATGCCGGACTAGAAATCAGGGAATATAGATTCCAGCCACTGACCAAAGCCAAGATGTTTCACCTTAGTTCTTCATCTGTTAAAACAAAGACTTGGGGACTGGCACTGTGTGGTAGGTTAAGCCTCTGCCTGTGGCACCAACATCCCATATGGGCACTGGTTTGTGTCCCAGCTATTCCTCTTTCTGATCCAGCTCTCTGCTCTGGCCTGGGAAAGTAGTGGAAAATGGTCCAAGTCCTTGGGCCTCTGTACCCATGTGGGAGACCAGGAAGAAGCTCCTGGCTTCTGGCTTCAGATCAGCCCAGCTCCAGCCGCTGCAGTCATTTGGGGACTGAACCAGTGGATTGGAAGACTCTCTCTGTAACTCTACCTCTCAAATAAATAAAATCTTTAAAAAAAAAAAAAAAAAAAGAAGAAGAAGAAGAAGAAGAAGACCATCCACAAAGAAACCACATAGATTCCTCTTTGGATTTGAACATCAGAGTCCACTTGCACAAGGCCACCTGGTTTAATATAGTATTTTCTCTGAATATGAAAGAAAACTAATTCGTGTGAGGATCCACAAAGCTCCTCTTCCAGAAACTTAGGAAACTCACCTTTTTATACCGACAGTTACCCACTGCCCTGGCCCACCTCCCCCACTCCAAACCTCCAGGCTCCTTTTAAAGCAAAGTTAGGGGCAGGGTCAACCAAACAAGCATCAGGGCTGGGCCACCGCCACTCTGCTGCCTGCTTGGGCCGGGACTCCAGGCCTCTAACACTGACACCAGTGCTCATTCGAGAAGGCGCTGCTGCTCCCCTTACCCAGGCAAGAGAGGGCAGACGACGAGAAGAGTGTGCAGTGTTTTCACTGAGGACCTTCGGTTCATAAATTTCAGAGCTGAGAACTAAATACTTGAAAGGCTAGCGCAGGCTGGGGGGAGGAGCGGCAGCCGCCAGGCAGCGCAACTCCTCAAAGGCTCTGGGTGCACTGGTGTACTGCGGCCTGCAGGTACCCGGCCCGCAGCCAAGGTGCCTCAGAGAGGAAGGGCAGCTCTGCCCCAGGGGCGGCCAAGGAGGAGCCCAAGAGGAGGTCGCCCAAGAAAGTGCAAGAAGGCCGTGGGAAAGGATGAGTCAGCAGACAAAGAAGTGTAAGCAACAGGAACCGAGGAGCAAAGGGAAAACAGGCCGTGGTGGCTCCCCAGGAAGCTAAAGATTTGCCTGCACAAAACTGCAAAACGAAAAATGAAGAAGAGGCCAGCCTCTGACGGAGCAGAAGAGAGAGAAGCCAAGTCTGACTGGTATCAGACACCATGTCTCATCGGGGTGCCTGTCTCCCTTCCTGGACAACCCAGAGGAATACTTTTATCAACTATTTTGCAAATGCAAGTTTATCAGTAGCTCTAGAAATATTTTTAAGGAGGGGAGCCCATCTCCTCCCATTTTTTAAGTGTAAATGATTTGTTTTTAAGAGGTGAAATTATTGGCCGCTTGTTTATTTTTTGGTAAACCAGAGAAGAGTGGCATATTGAGTTATGAGAGGCTTTGACTGTCTTTGGTAGCAGCTTAATATTACCTAGGTGGGCGTGGTTTTTATATCCTACAACACCACACCTTGGGCAACCTAGAGTCTCAGTTGTGCATTTAACCTGTCTTGAATATTTTCAGTCACTTCCCCCATGTTGTTTAGTAGAATTGCTCCCTACAGAAACCCACTCCTTGCTGCTGCACTAACCACTGGCGCTCTACAACATCTTTCCTTGTGGCAGCCCAGTTTTCCTAATGATTTTGTCAACGTGCTGTGGAAGACTGAACATTTGAGGATGCTGTGTATATGATTTTAAATTGTGAATGGGTTGGATTTATGTTACAGCAATCTTTGAAGATATGGGTGCTTGATGGACTCTTAAGGAAGAGTTGCCTCCAAATTGGAGGCTAGAAAGTCACTGGAATAACTTTTTAAAAAATGACAATTCATGGCTTTTTAGATTTTTGGTATGTATGTTAAGAATTGTGTAGAAATTAAAATGTGTGCTGATTCTCAACACCAATAAAATCTCAATTATAGACCAGAAAAAAGAGAGAGAGAGAGGCTAATGCAGACACACTCAGCCTGGCTTCCAGGCCATGAGTCATGATGCTGCCGAATTTTACATGTTACAGGCAACACACGGATTTCTCCAGAGAAAGTTTCCTTTAGGAAATCAAAAAAGGAGAGTGGCAGTGAAGTGCCACAGCAGCAACTGAATGCAGCTGGACCCCAAGAAAGTCACAGACACACTGAGTCTACAAGTCCCCAAAACAACAGGACCTCTGATTCACTCCCGGCGGGGCAACAGAATGGGAAAGCCACCTGGAAGTCAGCAGGCAGCTTCGTATCAAAGTAAACACACTCCCAACCACACAACTCAGAAACCGCACTGCTTGGTATCTACCCAAATGCACTGAAAATCTACATGCACGCCAGGTGTCTGTGGCAGCTTTACTCACACGGCCACTGGGTGGGAACAGCCAAGACGGCCTTCAGCAGGTCAATGTTGAGCAACGGTGACACAGCCATTAAAGCGTTATTCAGTGATAGAAAGAAAACTGCCAAGCCGTCTGTCAAGGGAAAGACTTCAAACTGGAAAGGCTGTATGCTGCATCATTCCAAGTCTATGCAATTCTGGGAAAGAAATCCCATGGAGACGGTAAAAAGATCAACAGTTGCCAGGGGGTGGAGGGAGAAGGGAGCAGCACACACAGGGGACCTGGAGGCCGGTGAAACCACTCCGCGTGACGTTGTCCTGGTGGATTCATGATGTCATGCATGTCAGAGCCCACAGGATGCAAAACACCAAGAGAGAGGCTGAGGGTAGCTAACTACAACCTATCAGGTGTTGGCTCACAGCCGCAACCAACACCCCCCCACTAAAGCAAGACACCATGTTAACAACAGGGGGGCCTGCGGAGTGGGGAGTGAAGGGTCACACAGCAACACTCAGTATTTTCCACCCCATTTTTCTCTAAATCCAAAGATTCTCTAAAATAAAGCCATTTACAGGAAAGGAAAAAGGCCTAGGAAGAAGCTGACAGAAAGGAGGAGAGGCCTCTTGGCAGGTGCACTGGCCCAAGGGCTGACCCGGTCTTTTTTTCCCTCTATCTCCAATTAATTAAACTCCAGGCTGCCCTCCCAGGAAAATGTGCTTTTGGCTTGGAGAACTTTCAGAATACCAAACACGGCTAAGCCTCCCGTAGTAGCAGAGGAAAAATGCTAATACACCTTCTCTTCTCAAAATGTACATGAAGGAAACTACTCAAACAGGCATCAAATGATACTAAATGGAGCATAGTTGCTTGCCATTAAAAATTGAAACCAAGGGGCTGGCGCTGTGGCACGGTGGGTTAACACGCTGGCCTGATGCGCCAGCATCACATATGGGTGCCAGTTCGAGACCCGCCTGCTCCACTTCCGATCCAGCTCTCTGCTGTGGCTTGGGAAAGCAGTAGAGGGTGTCCCAAGTCCCTGGGCCCCGGCACCCACGTGCAAGACCCAGAGGAAGCTCCTGGCTCCTGGCTTTGGATCAGCACAGCTCCAGCTGTTACTGCCAATTGGGGAGTGAACCAGTGGATGGAAGACTGCTCTCTCTCTGCCTCTCCTCTCTCTCTGCCTCTCCTCTATGTAACTCTTTCAAATAAATAAATGAATCTTTAAAAAAAATATATAAATAAAAATTGAAGCCAAGGGGCCAGCATTGTGGCATAGCGGGTAAAGCCTCCGCCTGCAGTGCTGACATCCCATATAGGTGCTGGTTCATGTCCTGGCTGCTCCACTTCTGACTCTGCTTCCTGCTATGGCCTGGGAAAGCAGCGGAAGATGGTCCAGGTGCTTGGGCCCCTGCACCCACGTGGGAGACCCGGAAGAAGCTCCTGGCTTCAGATCGGCGCAGCTCCAATTGTTGTGGCCATCTGGGGAGTGAACAAGCAGAAAGAGGGTCTTTCTCTCTCTCTCTCTCTCTCTCTCTCTCTCTCTCTCACACACACACACACACACACACACACACACACACACTGCCTCTGCCTCTTTGTAATTTTGCCTTTCAAACAAATACATAAATTCTTTAAAAAAAAGAAAAATGAAGCCAAGAGCCAGAGACCACATCACAGAATTCATTGAACTTGGTTTCACTGTTCTCGACGAGATGGCAAGTCGCCATTTCTTAAAGGGGATTTCATGAACAAACAAATCCAATGAAAATGACGGTGAATCAATGGCCAACATCTCTTCGCAGTCAGAAAGTAACTGGCAGGGTCAGATGTCAGGACGCTGGCCGCCTGCTGGGTGGGAACGGAACGGGGCAGGATTCTGAGGGCCTGGAAATGCTCCACTTCTTAACCTCAGCCCAGGCTGCACGAGATGTTCGCCTTAGAGAAACTGACTGGACTGTACATCACTGACTGTGTTTCTCTATCTGTGTATTGCACTTCAATTTTTCAAGAAGGAACAATATAAAACTATCCATTGTCTGTTAGGAGAAACAGCAGCAATCTTGTTCCATCTTTCTTGATTTCCTTTCTATGAGGGCTTCTAAGACATGGTAAAAGGAGAATTCAAAAATCAACTTCCAGTGCCGAGCAATGGGCGCCAGCAGGCCAAGTCTGGGAAGACAGACAGCGCTCCTGTGGACTCTATGCTGGGAAACCAAAATTTCTAAAAAACCACAATCAAACCTTCCAAGAGATCATTCTGAAGCTGCAGAAAACCCAACAAAGTGGGGACCCAGTCTTCACAAAGTGACAAAAGGCTCTCTGACCATTAATCTTTGATTTGTGAGAAGTCAGGTTACTTAATGAATAACAGGCCAATGAGGACAAATCTACTTGAGCAATCTACTCAGTACTTAAGTCATTCCCCAAAATACACCACTCAGACTGAAGAGGCTGCGGGCCCCTCTGTGACCAGTCCCTCTCGCCGACAGCAACCCGCAACCCAGGACCCAGGACCCAGGACCCAGGACCCAAGAGGCAGTGGTGCTCAGCCAGCAGTGGAGCAGCAAGAGCAGACCCTTTTATTACAAGAGAGCTCGCCCAGCTGCAAAGCTACCTTGTTTTCTTCATGCCCCCTAGCAGGCACCTGCTACCTAAAATGAAACCAGGAGTGGCCACTGGGAAAGAACCCATCGGTGAGCCTGTAGAAGGAAGAGCCACACCAACCCCAAGCCTTTCAAGGAGGAGCCACAGACAAGGACGCAGGACAGAGGAGAAGCTGGCCCCGAGGCCAGGGACCACCTCGGCTTCTGGTGTTCAGAGAGATGGAAAAAGGATAGAGATGTCTGGAACAACACAGAGCGGCCTCGGGACACGAGCTGAACTTTATTTACAAAGCAAGCCTCTGTCAACTGCTTTTTCTCCAGTCTCTTGGTCCCAGTAGACCAGGCATCTGGAATCCTGGATGGGTCAAAGAGCGCCTCAGAAGCCTGTGCACTAGGAGTTCACCGTCCCTGCGAGAGAAACGTTCCACGTCCTGCCTATCCTGACCCACCACGCTGTCTTGGGGAACCTTATGTGGCCCCGTCTAACTAAGGAGGCACAGCTCCGGGGCCTGCCGCAGAGCGGCTCCCCCCGGCCAGCGTCAGAGGGAAAAGGCCCAGCTTCAGCCTCGAACGCGTGCAAAATCAGAAGGCAGCTGCCTGTTTCTGAACTCCAAATACGAATCACAGTGTGTCTGTCTAAGGGTATCGCGAACCTGAGAACTCCAAAGATCCTTTAAGGAAAAACAAAGCAGCAAGTCGCAAGCTGGTTTAAGAAAAATATAAAGGCAGTTGAAAATTGTGAAAACTACCCTCCAGGCTATCTGTGCAATAAAAACATCTCCCTGTGCTTTTTGATTTTCCTACAAATATATGCCAACCCTGTTGAAGAAGAACAAAAAAGAACTCTAATATGTGATTAAAGAGAAAAAACACTCTTTTAATTTTTTGTACTGACAAAGCAGACCCGGGAGCCCTCTGCATGGTCTCTCCCCATGAGAAGGAAGAGAGAACCTGAACCCGCATGGCGGCCCAGCTTTCTCCCTGCTCAGTGATGCTTCTATTTGTAGAACCTGCGGGCCACCTCCCCACCAACCCCCAAAAACATGTTTTGTTCTGATGTGCTTTCCTCCCAAGACCAGTGCCAAAAAAACCACAGAAAATGTCCCTTGGCTAAAAAGCAGACGTGAAATTTTCGGCAAGCTCATTAAAGATGCACCCTGAGCAGGCCACAGGCATGCCAGCAGCCACGGCTCGGTTTCCCGGAGACACGCTGCAGTCAGAGGCAAGGGCAAAGGTTGAGAGCAGAAAGCCAGTGACTGGAGTTTTGTTTTGGTTTTGGTGGATTTTTTAGGTTTGATATTCAGCTCTAAGTAGACATGACCTATATTTTCAAACCTTAGGGGGAAAAATAAAAATGGAAGGAGGAATAATTATGTTCAAGTTCATGTACAAAACACTCATTCAACTTCCAAACTTAACAGTGAAATCGTGAGCGAGAAGGGGCAGCCGCGGGTCCCATGAAGCAGATGAGAGCTCTACAGACAACAAGGTCCCCACTTCACAGCGTCCGTTCTCTTACCCTCACTCGTTTCTTAAGGGAGAAGCTGCCCTACATTGAGTCACTTTACTGTGAAAGCCAAGACGGGTATAAGCATGCGATTCCTCCCCGGCTCCTCGAAGGGACTGTTCCAGCCCATGCCCGGGGCTCAAACCTCACGCACAGGGCGATGACAGCATGGCTTGGCTGTTTTGTGCACACAGCACCCCCCAGGTAAGCTGCTGGCCTTTTCTCTCCCTCTCGAAGTTAAACACCTCCACTGTACCTGAACCTCTTCAAAAATGGTCGCTTGCTCCTGGTTTGTCAACGTTGTCAGGTGCTTCTGCAGTTCTAGTTTGGTTTTAGAAGAATTCATTCCTATTAAGAGGAAAAAAAAAAAAAAGGGAGACATGTTAAAAACTGTAGTTAAAAGTGAGGAGGTAGATAGAGTTGAGCTCTTCCATAACTGTTTCTTACGCTCCCAGCCACCCACCGCACGCTGTCCGGGAACACTGGGGAACCTGTCCAGGCATCGTCATCTCTCAAATGCGCTCCGACACTCTGGGCAGTGCATTCTGAGCGTTAAACCCCTGAAGTTTCCTTTAATTCCCTGAAGGCACCTGAGGAAGAGGATGCCACTGTCTCCATCTTCCAGCTAAGGAAATCGAGGCCCACAGAGCTAACATCCAAAGGCCAGCCAGGACACCCTGAGCATGAGCGGCTGTGGAGGACGCTCTCTGAGTTTCAACACGCCACCCCGTCAGAGCCTGCTCCCCGGAGCCGGGAACTGCTCATGACCATTCTCACAGCTCCAGAGCCAGGACACCTTTTCTTTCAGGAAAAGCACCTCCTGGGTGTGAAGATGGACCCACGTTTTCCTCTTGCACATTGGGTTTCCTTCACATAAAATCTTCATGGGGCTAACGACTTTTCTTTTACCACGTGCTTATTAACAAAGACCACTCAATGAACATTACAAAGGGTTCTGGGAAAAAAGCCATAAAACCAAAGGCAGTGCCGTTTAAGGAGGTCCTTCCCCACACAGCCACAGGTCAGGGCCTGTGTGTTGACTCTTCCCCACATCCAGGGATGATGGCCACGCAGGAGAAGGCTGGGAGGGAAAGGCCGTGCTGACCCAGCCGCCAGCAGAACACTGCTCTGGGATGGGGAGGCCCGGGGAAGGGGCGGGGCAAAGGCTCTGAGCTGGACAGCGGTGTTGGACAGACTGAGGGCGCTGAGCCTAAGTGGGGACTTGTCCATAGGTACTGAGAAATCATGCCCAGTGTCAGAGACGCGTTTGCTGAGAAGCCAGAGAAACCAGGTGACTGGGGGCCCATGAGCAGCCAGCCTGGTGTGGGGCCCATGTTTCTGCTCTCCCACTACGTGGAGACCCTAAGCCCTGAGAGGAGGTGGACAGGCTGCGTAGTGCGGGCAAGCCTAGGGGCGGTCACCCAGCAGTCCAGTCTGTGTCTCAGCAGGTGTCTCCAGGACACCAGCACCCTCTATGTGGCCTCTCATCTCCACCCATAGGTGGGTGGCCCACGCCTCCACAGAGGCCCCAGGCGGTGCCCGAAGGGTGAGGATGAGAAGGGAGCGAGGTGATGGGGGAGTCAAGGACAGTGAGCTGCTGCACCCTCGGCGCTGGGAAGGCTCCGTTACAGGGAGCACTGGCAGATGAGCAGCCATTACAGGGAGCACTGGCAGAGAGCAGCTTTGCTAGGGGAACGTTTGCTCTGGGAGCTAACGGAAAGCTCAGCTCAGCTGACAGCATAATTCATTCTGGTAATTCCCGGAATGCTCTGCTAAACTTTACATAAATACATAAATACCACGGTGGCTGCATCCAGTTCCAGCACAGCCTGAGTGCAGCTGTACCTCTCACAGGCTGTAGTACACATGACAGCGGCGTCTCCACCCCCATCACCAAGCACAGCCTATGTATTCTGCTACAGACAGATGGAGACACATAAATTCTGTTGCAGATAACTTGACTGCGTCAACTGAGAAAATATGGTTTTTTGTTTTTTTTTTTTTGTAGCCAGGTCACTCACTGGTGGGTCCTCTCCATAGAATGCAACAGCAAAAAGCAAGGGATGCTAAAATCACTCAGAAAGTAATTAGCAGCTCTTCTACTAACGATGCCTCTGATCAACGTCTCCTTTACGCAGTCTTCAAAAAAGTGAGTGCAACTCTGACCTCAGAATCAGTCCTTAAGGCATTCTGGTCTGGCTGAAAAGCCCATGAGAGAATTTCAGGCATGGAAAGCCAAGAGACTATGACAAAAAATGTCCTACATGAAGGACCTCTGTGGGTGAGACCCCAGTGGAAAGAAGTGGTCATCAAAGAAGGATGTACTTTTCTCCGGAGGGAGGAGAGAACTTACACTTTGCTTATGGCCTTGTCTAAATACTGACGGAGTTTGTGGATTCAAAAGGCTCCCATGGCCTTAGCATCTCATGTCAAGTGCCTTGGGTGATCACTGACATCATACATGAGTGTTAATGGTTATATTAACAACAGGAGTGCTGCCGCCCAGGTGCATTAGCAGGAAGCTGGACTGGAAGCTTGCAGTAGCCGGAACTCTCAGCAGGCATCCGGACAGGCGGTGCAGATGTCCCTGCAGTTAGCCTGCTATGCTACATCGCCCACCCTTGCCCTTGGTTGCATTTTATCAGATAAAAGGTTAATCAAATAATTCTGATACTACAGCTGCAAAATCCCTACCCTGATTAAACTTTTCAGCAGTAGCTTTCCGAAAGCTAAGCCAGGACGAAAATTCAACCAAGTGGAGCCCTGGAAGCTTTCCAGTGCCTGCAGATCATGATCTGTTTTATCTTCAAGGCCAAGGCCATGGCTGCCTTCTTAATAAGCTCTTAAGGGACAATTCTGTCATCATTCACCTTATCTTGACAACCACTGTGAGAAGGGTTAGTGAGCCTCTCAGTCGGGAGCTGTAGTTAAAGCAAAACCTTGCTGGTTCCCAGCTACATTTTGTATAAAGTCAGCAAATAGTAACACTTTGGAAAACAGTCAAAAATATTAATCATGCTTCATTTTAGAGGGCACTGTCACGCTATGAATGAACCTTCTCAGGCTTTCAGACGTCAGCTGCTATTTATTTCATTTGAAATGAGCAATCAGATACTATCTCACATCCGTTAGGGTGGCTATCTTTATCTTAAAAAAAAAAAAGCTTTATGTAAGGATGCCAAGGGGGACCCTTGTGCCTTGGCAGTGGGAACGCGAAAGGCCATAAGTGCTGTAAACAGCGCAGCAGTTCCTTTAACAGTGAAGCATAGACCAAGCATAGGATGCAGCAATTCCACACCGGGGTACACATCCAGAGGAACCGGAGGCAGGGACTGGCATAGATATTTGCACACCAACATTCAGGGCAGCATTATTCCCGGCAGCCAAAAAGTACAAGTAATCCAAACGTCCACTGACGGACAAATGGACAAGCAAAATGCAGTGTCCACATATAATGCAACGTTACTGAGCCTTAAAAAGCAATGAAGTTCTGACACATACAGCACGAACAAACCTAGAGGACATTATGCTAAGTGAAATAAACCAGAAACAAGAAGACAGATAGTGTGTAATTCCATCTATATAAAGCACCTTGAGTAATGCAATTCATAGAGACAGAAAGTAGAGCGGTGCCAGAGGCTGCAGGGAGGCAGAGAGAGGAACTGGCAGTGCGGGAAGATGAAAATGCTGCACAGAAGACAGGAGTGACAGTGACAGCTCAGCAGGAATGACAGTGGGAACACCACCACTGAGCTGTCCTTACAGAGTGGTATGTTGGGGGCTGGCGCTGTGGCATAGCGGGTGAGCCAACCACCTGCAGTGCCGGCATCTCATATGGGCACTGGTTGGAGTCCCGGTTGCTCCACTTCTGGTCCAGCTCTCTGCTGTGGCCTGGGAAAGCAGTGGAAGATAGCCCAAGTCCTTGGGCCCCTGCACCCATGTGGGAGACCTGGAAGTCCCTGAATCCTGGCTCCTGGCTTTGGATCGGCCCAGCTCCAGCCATTGCGGCCACGTGAGGATGGAAGACCTCTCTCTCTGCCTCTGCCTCTCTGTAACTCTGCCTTTCAAATAAATAATCTTTAAAAAAAAAGTAAATTTTCATATTACATTAAAAAAAGGAAATGAGGTCTAAGAGGAAAGCAGTTTTTCTTTACAGTTATAGTGTTGGGATACACGGGAAGTAATTACACTTTTATTTATTTGAGACGGTGCAGGGAGAAAGAATCTTTCACCTGCTGGTTCTCTCCCCGGATGCTCACAAAGGTAGGGGCTGGGCCAGGGCGAAGGCCAGGAGCCTTGAATGCAGTGGTGGCTTGGTAGGGACCCAAGTACTGATGTTACCACTTGCTGCCTTGTAGGGTGCACATTAGCAGGGATCTGGAATCGAGAGAGGAGCTGAGACCCAAACTCAGGCACTCGGAGATGGGGTGCAGGCGCTCAACCTTGGGTCTTAACCAATAATAAGCCAGACGCCTGTCCCCACGGGACATAATCGCCATTTTCTTTTTACAGTAACCCGGGTAGTCACAATCATGTGACACGCCCAAAACTACAAACAGCAAGATTTAGAAGTAATCCTAAAAATGGGACAAAATCCTAACCCGCAGGCACAAGCCCCTCCACCACCTGCATCCCTCAGGTGAGCATCATCGCTCCCGCTCTCAGGCTTCCCCAGGTCCCTCCCGGCCCCCGGCCCCCGGCCCCTGGCCCCCGGCCACCAACGCCCCCTCCCACTCAGGAGGGGCTCCTCCCCGTCCATTCTGACCCCGCAGCCCTGTGCGCTTTGACTTTGCTCAAATCCCCCCACGTCTAAAAGAAGAGAGTGGGCCGGACGCCTGGGCGCCCCCGCACAGCCCTCTCCTTGAAAGGCAGGGCTGCTGAGCTAACAGCCAGGTGCTTCCCGCCTGGGCCGAGTGCCCGGCCCCCCCGACGCTGCTGTACCCCTGCACGTCTTCACCCCTCCATCTACCTATGTGTAAGACGTGCAGAATAAACCCGTCCTTTTCCTCCCACAGGTGTGGCGAAGCTGAGTGTTACAGAGGACAGCGGGCACAGTGCCTGGCACACCCCAAGCATTCAAGCGGGAACAACTGCCAATCCTAACATGCTCTTACGACTGCCCTCAGCCAAGTGTCTAGAAATAGCAGTCAGCATCCGCAGTCATCACTTCTTTCCCGTGGGCTCCTCCGCTGCCACCTGCCTTCGCTCCCTCCCCTCCAACAACACAGTACTCACAGAGGCCACCGAGGAGGGACCCTGCGCCCCAGTCTCACTGGATTGCACCATATCAGCCCAGATGCTTGAGCCCTCTCCCAGCCCTGACGAACCACAGGCAGCTGGCTTGCTCACTGTCTCCCTAACTTCTCCACTAACCTCTGGGTACAGAGGGCAGCGGCGAGAAGGGGACCCAGGCGCTCATTTCTGCATCCCTGGAATGGGCACGCACATCTCACACACACACACACACACACACACACACACACACCGCATTCCCTCTCTCCTCACCCTCTATGCGTTCACAGAGCTTGTGCAGACCCTGCAGGGGGCAGCCCTCACACAGCTGGGCCGGAGCCTTGGCCGTCTGCTGCACCGCCGCCACCGTGAAAGCCTGCTTCAGGGTCATCATGATTTCATCGACCTAGGCAAGAGAAGAGAAAGTGCCGTGAGCACGCGGTCCACCTGCTGCTGGCTGGGCTCAGATCTCAGTAGGTAGATGGGAAACCCCCGGCACGTTAGGGTTTTTCTGGACCCTTCTTCCCACGCCAGCAGACAGTAATAGTAAAGACTGCTAACACTGGTGGCCAAGAAACCCACCCCGGTGCTGTTCAAGCAGACGAGGCAAAAGGCCAACATACAGAGCTGATACACAGGGACCTAGCAAACTCCTCTGGCCAAAGGTCCAAAATGACATTTAGAATGTAAGCTAGGGGGTGAGGAAGGCCGAGCTCTTCAAAAACAAGGAAAACGTTCAAGGCACACCCCCAAGGGCATCTCAGCTATGCCTCAGTTACCAAATCGGCACAGGTGGATAACGACACCAGACAACAAGTGGACGAGGCTAGCCCATTGTGCTAGGGCCAGAAGATGCCATGGGGCTGAGATCCCAGGCAAGGACTGCACATCCTCTCACCAGAGCTTCGTTTGCGCACTGAAACACGTAGCAGACGAAATGCAGGCCGCCGCCGCCAGCGCCCAAGTTCTCACGGCAGATAAACCCAAAGTGGTCCACGTGCCTGATGCCCTGTGGGAGGCAGGGGAGAGGGAGGAGGAGGCTGGAGGTGTGTCGGAGAGACGCACCCCAGCATTACAGAACACAATCAGAAAAGATCTAAACACCCCTCTCGGTGCGCCTCAATATCAAGACAGCCACGGTCCTAACACGTTCCTCTGATCACCCTCACGGAAGGACTGCCACAGCCTGAAAGTTCAAAGTTTGACACTCATTTTACAACTTCCAGGACATGGAGAAAAGCGATAGAAAAATGGGAACTTTTCTTATGTATCAGAGAATAAGAACCCTCATGAAAAGATCAAGGAGAGGCCAGAGATTAAGGAACACACGCACACACACACACAAATTTTAAAAAGATTTAAAACACGTTTGTCCTCCTAAAGTAACAGGTAAATAATAAAGTAAACCAGTACAAAAAATGAGACAAAATTATATACACACAAAGCAGTGCTAAGCATGAGCTATTAAGGCCAAAGGGCTACCATAATCTCCTAAGAGCTCTCGTTAACGAACATTACCATGTAAGCTTGTTTTGAGACTTGTTTTGAGAGCATTGGCTAAGAGACAGCATCCTACAGATAAAACATTGTCCATGAAAATTAACACGTCAACGTCTTCTGAAAATACCAGAATGCAGATACACATCATGACAGCTCAAAGTTTGGGTACTCATAGAAACTTATAAACTGTACTCTTTAGGAAATAAAATTATCACATTAAAAAACAAATATTTGACAGTAATATTTCATAAGTAGAAGCAAATCAAGATTAAAATCCTGTGGCAGGCTGGCGCCACGGCTCACTAGGCTAATCCTCTGCCTTGCAGCGCCGGCACACCGGGTTCTAGTCCCGGTCGGAGCGCCGGATTCTGTCCAGGTTGCCCCTCTTCCAGGCCAGCTCTCTGCTGTGGCCAGGGAGTGCAGTGGAGGATGGCCCAAGTCCTTGGGCCCTGCACCCCATGGGAGACCAGGATAAGTACCTGGCTCCTGCCATCGGATCAGCACGGTGAGCCGGCCGCAGCGCGCTGGCTGCGGCGGCCATTGGAGGGTGAACCAATGGCAAAGGAAGACCTTTCTCTCTGTCTCTCTCTCTCTCACTGACCACTCTGCCTGTCAAAAAATAAAAAAAAATAATAATAAAAAAAAGAAAGTAGAGAAACTCTTACAAAAAAAAAAAAATACTGTGGCTAATCTCACTTTTAGGTCTAAGGTTTCCCAGCAAATAAGCAGTGACTGACATGCCCCAGCAGCTCAGTGCCTTCCAGGAGCTAACTAAGCATGTACTAGAGGTTGCTACTTAGGGGACAATGATTTAGGAAAACAATTTCTTAGGAAATGGTTCCCTATTAGCTTTTGACAAAAAAAAATTTTATGCTTTGGAAAAAAATTTCCTTCTGAACATTTAGGTAAATCATGTTATAAATCAACAAGCTCTTGGGGCCGGCGCCCTGGCTCACTTGGTTAATCCTCCGCCTGCGGCGCCAACATCCCGTATGGGCGCCAGGTTCTAGTCCCGGTTGCTCCTCTTCCAGTCCAGCTCTCTGCTATGGCCCGGGAAGGCAGTGGAGGATGGCCCAGGTCCTTGGGCCCTGCACCCGCATGGGAGACCAGGAGGAAGCACCTGGCTCCTGGTTTCGGATTGGCGCAGCGCCGGCCGTAGCAGCCGTTTGGGGAGTGAACCAACGAAAGGAAGACTTTCTGTCTCTCTCTCTCTGTCTATAACTCTACCTGTCATATAAATAATCAATCAATCAATCAATCAATCAACAAGCTCTATGATTTTCATGAACTCTTACTAGGGAACTGAAAAACAGCAACGCCTAATTGTAAGTGCTGTCTTGTTTGTGGGAGACAATCCTGCATAAACCTGGCACAGCTGTCATGACTGACAGACTCCTCCAAAACCTCTAGGGGACTGTCAAGAAAGACATCTCTAAGTGGACACTGTGCTGTCAGTAAGAATCCTCAGAGATGAGCACTATTACATTTTAAGGGAAAAGCAAACAAAAACTGAACAAAGAAATTTTTATAAATTTTTACGAAATTGAAATGTCCTTGTGTGCATAAATAGATATAAAACATACAGATACCCCTAGACATGACAATAGAACAATACTATCAATAATTGCAAAAAAGTAAAGATTTATTTTTTCCAGTGTGTTTTTTCCTTTTATTTTAATGTATTTGAGAAGCAGAGAGAGAGAGAACTCTCTCATCTGCTGGCTTACGCCCCAAAGCCTGCAATGGGCAAGGTGGGACAAGGGCTGAAGAAAGGAGCCAGGAATTGAATCCCAGTCTCCTAAGTGGGTGGCAGGAACCCAGTGACCTGATTCGTGGCTGCTGCTTCCCAGGGTCTGTGCTAGCAGAAAGTTAAATAGGAGTCGGAGACAAATATCAAACCCAAGCACTATCACAGGGGATGAGGGTATCCTAACCAGACTCTTAACAGCTAGGCCAAACCCCTGCCTCTCCAGTTTGTTATCATTCCCAAGACCAAAACTCTTAGTATCCAAAATATATTTATAATACATTTAATACACCAAAGGAGAACAAAAATGCAAGATCGCATATCAAGAACTTAAACACATCTCGTGATACCTCTTGCACTTATGTTGTGTGACGGATGTTAAAATTAAAAGAATCTTTTAAAAATTTTAAGTGCAGGGCCAGTGCTGTGGTTCACTTGGTTAATCCTCTGCCCACGGCGCCAGCATCCCATATGGGCATCGGGTTCTAGTCCCGATTGCTCCTCTTCCAGGCCAGCTCTCTGCTGTGGCCAGGGAGTGCAGTGGAGGATGTCCCAAGTCCTTGGGCCCTGCACCCACATGGGAGACCAGGAGGAAGCACCTGGCTCCTGGCTTCGTATCGGCCCAGCGCTGGCCGTAGCAGCCATTTGGGGAGTGAACCAACAGAAGGAAGATCTTTCTCTCTGTCTCTCTGTCTATAACTCTACTTGTCAAATAATAAAAAAAATAAAAAATAAAAAATGTGAACTGCAACTGAACCAATAATTAGTCTCCACTTACCTGAGAGCAAAAGGATATCTCCTTGAAATTTTTCTCCAATGCTACTTTTTTGGTGTCAGGGCTGATGAGGTAAACTTCCGATTGGCCAATCTTAAAGGAGCAAAAAAAAGGGGAAATCAGCTTCTCATGGAAGTGGAACTCCGGCACAGGACTCTTTCCCACTTGATGAGCCGTCAGAATACAGATTTGAGGGGTGAGTTCTGCTAAGAGTGCCGTCGTGGCCATGCAGGAGGCAGCTGCAAAGCGTCTAGCTTCTGCTTTGTAATGCAGGTAGCGCCAACAGCCAGAGTGACTCACCCACCAGAGACAGCCCCAAACCCACAGCCCCCTTACAAGAAGGTGGGCTTTCTACGTGAGAGTTTCAGAAAACAGAAGTTTCTATTAAAAACTTCCAATTGGCTAATTTTTTTGCTAAGTAGTCATTTTGAATTATTGCCAAAATAATTTTTTGCATTAGGTAGTAACATGGACTACATGCTCTTACCTGATCATTATTATTATTATTGTTTTTTTTTTTTTTTTGAGTGAGTGCATTCGCGTAAACTCACACTGCCTTACTGTCTCAGAATATCAGACGCCCACGACGGCAAAGCGCTATGCTCAACACCCATCCTGGCCACGGCAGCCGCCCTCTGCTGGCTGCATGGGGAGGTGGGAGGCTGCCTCCCTCCCCAGCCCCATCTCTTTCTACCTTCCCTCTCTGCTTTCCTTGGACAGTCACCTGGCGTCTACTAAGCACCTACTGTGTGCCAGGGTTGTGGTTCCTGGGACTATTAATGAAGGCAACGGACAAAGGAAAATCCATGCCCTCGTGAAGTTTATCCCCAGGGGGCACACAGAACATAAAATATTTTACTCAACTGTTATTATGTCAGATGGTGGCAAGTCTAGGGAGAGAAATAAAGCAAAGTGCCAAGGGAAGTTGCTATTGGCCCCCTGTCACAGGAACATCTCAGCAGAGACCTGGAAGCGATGAGGCAAGACCTGAGACAAGCAGAGGGAGCTTGGCAGCAAAGAAACAGAGGAGGGAGTCCCAGGTAAAGCCCAAGCCCCCACCCCCCACCCCGTCTAGGGCCTCTGCACCTACTGCTCTCTCAACCCAGGAGACGCTCCCTGTTTTGGCTGCACTGAGACCCCTGCTCTGAGAAAATCCTGTGCGCCAAGAAGCCTTTCCTGACTCCCACGCCCCCTCTGCACCCCCTCTGCAGCAGGCTCATCACAGCTCTAATCAGAGTCAGCTTTGCAATCCGCTGCTTGTCCCCGGTGCTGTGGGCCGAGGCCATGCCTGTCCTGTCACTGCTTTCTTTCCAGAGTGTTGCAAGGGACCTCGTACATGGCAGTCAAGTACTTGAAAATAAATGCGCTCAGCAGCTTTCTCCCTGACACCAAGATAGGTGCTTTGATTCTTAAAATAGATAGATAGATAGATAGATAGATAGATAGATTGATCGATCAATCAATCACAGATTAAAGTACCAGTCTGAACCGCCAGCGTAGCACCCTTTTAATCACGGTGGGTCAAGGCTGATACATGGGAGGCAATCATCCCTATTTATGCTCTGACCCCTCCGCACCCATGTAAACCTGCACCCAGGATCAACCTCTGGACCAGCTCCCGGCCCAGAGACAGGCGTCAAAGTGCCGCAGAGGTCATTCGGCTCTCGGTACGATGGTAGGTGGTCACTACTCCAAACCGAAGCTGGTGCCGCTGCCCGCCCAATGGCCCCCAGACCCTTCAGCTCAGACCCAGGGGCCTCCCAGGGAGGGCAAGCCGCAGCAGACGCTGAGTGTCAGGGGCGGCTCCCCTTCCACTCCGGCACTGGCACTCGCTCACTATTAGTTTATCAAGAATTTTCCTAGGGGGAAAAAAAAAAGCAAGCAATTCACTGAACCAACACAGTATTTCAGTTTGGGTATGAATTTCAAGTACAGTGTTACCCACAAACCTAAATCTTCTTCATAATAAAGGGGCAGCATTTTATAAATTAATAATCACCGCAAAGAATATTTTCCAACTGAAAGATGTTTATATATCCCTCTGGGGCCCTCTCTTACACAGGAGGGAGGTCAGTTACCCAAGGGAGAGGCTGTGGTCTCTGTTCCATCACTGATCCTTTTATCCTAAGAATGACTCAGGATACCAAACCGCAGGGAACCCCACAGACACCCAAGCGCGAGCTTTCTCTGCGTCGCCACCGCCGACTTTTACCGTGAAGAGCATAGTCCTGTTCTCCTCGATATCCGTCGGCTGCACAACATTGCGCCCGCTGAGCAGGTGGCTCTCGATGTCGCTCTCCTCGAAAGAGCTGAAGCAGCTGCTGCCGCGAAGCCCTGCGTCCTGGAACTCCTTCCTGAAGGCCAGCGAGCGCAGGCCCGGCTGCGAGAAGGACTTGCGCATGGGCCTGCGGCCGGGCTCCTCGGCGGCCGCCCCGGGCAGCGCGGCCCGGAGTCCGCCCCCGGGACCCAGGGGCTCGGGGTTCCGGGAGGCCAGGTCCACATCCGCCCTCCTGCTGCAGCTGACATGGTTGAACTTCTCGATGCACTCGTCGATCAGGGCCGGCGGCGCCTTCTTGTGGGCCACCGTCACGCGGCCGCAGAACAGCACCTCGAACTTCTTGGCGAACGTGTCGTCAAACTCGGACGGGCAGTGCAGCTCCTCCTGGCGCGCGAGCTTCCCGGCCTGGCGGATGGAGCTGATGATCTCTGGCACCTGCCGACAAAGGGAGCAGCGTTACTCGGCGCAACCCCGGCGGAGGGCGAGGTGCTGAGCACCTGCGCTGCGCTGGAGCCGCAGGTGCCCACAACACCCCGCCCGGTGAGGAGCCAGCCGGGGGACCGCACAGCTGCCTGGGCTCCAAACCCAAGGGTCCATCCTGGAGAAGCCGTTGTCTCTCCAACGTGGCTCGCCAGAGGATCAGTTTTTCTAGATTTTATAGCCATCTTCCTCCACAAACAGTGCGATAGAGAACACAGACACTGTCTTAGAAGACATTTGTTTTAGCATCAGGATTTTCTTCACTGACACCTGAGAAGTTACCACATAGCCCTACCCGTGTATGAAAGAGAATGACTACAAAGGGGACTGATGTCACACAGGGGGTTAAGCCAACCCTTGCAACACGGGCGGGCATCTCTCCCACAGGAGCACCAGTTCAAGTACTGGCTGCTCTGCTTCCAATCCAGCTCCCTGGGAAGGCAACGAAGATGGCCCAAGTACTTGGACCCCTGTCATTCATGTGGGAGACCCAGATGGGGTTCCTGGCTCCTGGATTCAGCCCCGCCCAGCCCTGGCTGGTGTGGCCATTTGTGGAGTGAACCAGCGGATGAGAGATCTCTACCCAACACCCTTCTCTTGTCACTCTGCCACTCTTTCAAATAAATAAATAAATAATAATCTTAAAAAAAAAAGACCACAAAGCTAGGAGGTTTTAGACAAAGTAAACCACCCAGGACTAGTACCATCAGAGCAGCTTTCGGCTTCTCGTGTAAAACCATGATTAGAATGGTGCACACGAGGGTCTCACTTGTCGCGGTGCGGTCCCACTGCTACACCCCCTCATCATCAAGCCCTGCCAAGAATCTCCAAAGCATCATCAAACACAGAGGGGACCGCATTACAGCGCCTATGCATCCGGGCAGTGTTCGGACGGCAGCCGCTGGTACCCTCGGCGTAATCTCCGTGGCCAGACAGCACAAGGCAGGCAGGAATCCAATCTTCAAAAGGAATGGCCTAGCTTTTGTTCTGACCTAACACCTAAACCAGTTCTTTTCCAATTTCTATGGAAGGAAAAGTCAATTTAGGGCCCAATACCCATAAGGCTCCAGTGTCTTTTTCACAACATGACAGAGAATGGAAAAATCCTATTTCCAGTTCAGTGCAAAGATCAGTGTATACAGTAAAGGGGGGTAATTTTCGTTGATTTTAAAAGTATGCTTGTATTTTGTGTTCATGCATAATTCCCAAAGAGCCTTGTAATTTCACATCACGCACGTCTTAAAGCTCTCTCTGCCATAAATATTATGACATATCCTTTCAAGGAATTTGTCATACAAAGACTCAAAGTATCTTTAAGGACATTTTATATTAAAAAAACATTTCCAGAGGAATAAGACCTAAAAAGCTGGGATTTCAGCAGATTATCAAGCGTCTATTGCAAGGAGTATTTCTGTTGTGCTGAATGTCCCTCCTAGGCTGCCACATCTTGGTGGGGGGGGAGTACACATAACATTTTCTAGGTAAAAGATATTTCTGTGTGACAAAGAGTAACACCAATTTTCTTTCCTTTTTTTTTTTTTTTATTTGACAGAGTTAGACAGTGAGAGAGACAGAGAGGAAGGCCTTCCTTCCATTGGTTCACTCCCAAAATGGCCGCTATGGCCGGAGCTACGCCGATCCGAAGCCAGGAGTCAGGTGCTTCCTCCTGGTCTCCTACACAAGTACAGGCGCCCAAGCACCTGGGCCATCCTCCACCGCCCTCCCGGGCCACAGCAGAGAGCTGGACTGGAAGAGGAGCAACTGGGACTAGAACCTGGCGCCCATATGGGATGCCGGCGCCACAGGCGGAGGATTAACCTAGTGCGCCACGGCGCTGGCCCCAGTAGCACCAATTTTCAAGCACATATAACCAGCTTGTGTAAATAAACTGAGTGTGAGATTAGTGGGAGTCACTTGAACAATCCCAATTACTAACCCCAGCAACTGTGTGCTGTTCTCCCTGAAGGCTCAGCAGGAAAGGGCACCCACACAACTGAGGGTTGTCCCTCACTTCACAGGTCAAGGAGCACATGCAGTGGTCTTCCCCGCCCCCAGACCCCCCACGCTTTAATCAGACTCTGCAACACGCTTCAGCAGCAGAGCCAAGCTGCTCTGCTTGCTCAGGTGAGTCCTGGAATCCAGGCACAGCTGCATTCCAGGGTTCCCAAGGTCAGGGCAAGGCGCGCCCTGCCCTCCAGGGGCACTAAGACGCTGTGCGTACACCACAGGGATAAAGGAGATGACAAATAGGGATCTAGAAAACACTGCAATCCTGATAAGGATATAATAATTTCAAAACAGGACAAGGCAAATGGCACCTTACCAAATATAGTGTAAATGACAAACTGCAAATAATTAAAAACCTAATGCTATTTAAATATTACATTATTCCTATATACTAAGAGGCTAAATTAAGCAACGGGCTCTACAGGTGTGCAAGTCTACAGAATGTCATTGCTAGATTCAGTTCCTTTTACCAGAACAGACCTGAGTCACTGTTTTTCCAAAAACAAGGACATAATGGGCACTAGGGATGATTTCCTCAATCCTGCCCTGGACTCACCTACACAAGCTTTTTGCATGCGGGAATTGAGTCATTTCCTTCATTTATTTCTCGGTATCTCTCAATGCTAGAGCCAGGGATTCAGAAGTGGGAGAGGAACGCAGTCCCCACCTGGGGAAGGCGCGGGGGACCCAGAGGAGGTGGGGTGAGTGCTGAGAATTGTTTGGCGTGTGCTGGGAGCCTGAGCTAACAACCAAGCACTGAAGACAGACCGGCTGAATTGAAGATTCTACAGACAACATGCGCAGGCCGGTCACGTGGACGCCTGTGCCAGGAGCTCAGACAGGGAACAGCAGAGGGGCAGGTATGGAGAGAAGGTGCATGGGTTCTGCAAGGCCAGGAGCACTTGCACGGGAAGGCATCCTGGGGGCTGCTAGACCGATAGACTGGAGTCTCAGTGGGGACATCAAAGGCTCGTATTACTTGGGAGGCAGCCACAGCCTCAGGAACAGGATAAAGGCAGAGGAAAGGAGCACACGTGGGCCCTTGAGATATCTCAGCAATTCAGGGATACAGAAACTGGGGCATCTCGGACAAAGTAGTCAAGGATGAGGGCAGACACGCCAAGAGAAGGGGCAGCTCATATTCAAGAAACGGACTGAGGACAAGCCTAGGGCTGAGAGAGGCCGGCTGGGGTGGGCCGCTCATACAGCTATGTGTAAACGAGTAAATGGCTGGGCCCGGGCGCCTGGTAAGACAGCGCTGGGATGCCTGCATCCCTCACTGGAGTGTCTGCTCCCAGGCCCTGCTCCACTTCCAGTCCAGCTTCCTGCTAACGCACACTCTGGGAGGCAGCAGGTGATGGCTCCTGCCACCCAGGTTGAGTTCTGGCTTCAGCCTGTAAAATGAACCAGCAGATGAGAGATCTCCCTCCCTTTCTCCCTCTCCCCCTCCTCCCACTCTCTTTTGTCCTTCTTTCTCTTTCAATTAAAATGAAAATACATAAAGGGGTCAGCGCAGCGGTAAAGCCGCCACTTGCAATGCTGGTGTCCCATGCAGACCCTGGTTTGAGTCCTGGCTGCTCCACTTCCGATCCAGCTCTCTGCTGTGGCCTGGAAAAGCAGTGGAAGATGGCCCAAGTCCTTGGGCCCTTGCACCCATGTGGGAGACCCAGAAGAAGCTCCTGGCTCCTGCCTTCGAATTGGTGCAGCTCCGGCCATTGCGGCCAATTGAGGAGTGAACCAGTGGATGGAAGACCTCTCTCTCTCTCTCTCTGCCTCTCCTTCTCTCTGTGTAACTCTTTCAAATAAATAAATCTTTAAATATATATATATATAAATTAAAAAAGGGACAATGCTATCACTAACATACACCCCCAGTTAAATAAGACTGAAATAATAAATAAATAAGACTGAATATGTCTTAAGGGGAAACTTGAGTCTCCCAGAACTTCAATGTCAAGTTATGATATTGACTGCAATACACAGCCCCTTTTGGGCAAATGCTCACACCCGGAGGCCCGTGGAGCTCCTACCCACTGATAGCATCTGGGCACTTCTAACCAGTCTTTTTTTAGTCGGTCACAGCAATAATGTCTGCGTCATTTCTGTTTGCAGATAAGCTGATAAAGCAAATCACGGCAAAGACAAGAATCTGAAACGCATTCTACTGGAATAAATTCAGCAAGGGCTTGGAGTTTGGTCTTAACTCCTTTCACGTTGCAAATCAAAACAAAAATGTTAGATCCTTAAGTTCAATCACCAATAACGAGTGAAGAAACAGGCCTTGTTCGGGGAGATAAAACCTTACTGAGCTCCTCTTCTGTCGACCTGAGCCTGTGCTAACGCCCAGCCTTGAAAGCGTAGCTGCAGTCCCTTCGCAAACACAAGTTCCTTCAGAATTCGCCCAGCAGCACCACGCGGTACAGCTGAGTCTCTGGGGCTTACGTGTATGCTGCTCTATAAGGAGCAAGAAATCGATACTGTAAGAGAACTAGAAACAGTCACTTTGCCCTGTAAAGTCCTGAAACATTTGGGTCAGCTTTCTTTTTAAGGATTTGGGGGTTTTAAAGGATTAAACACACTGCAAGTGCAATTTATTCATAGGGATTTAGGAGCGCTCCTGCCACGATGTGTACAATTCAAGTCACTTCAGTCCACAACTACGGTCTTGTTTTTCTGCCAGCGAGTCACAGATAAGTACCACGTGAGTCTAAAGGAGCCTGATATTCGTATTTTAAAGCCCACAGCCTTTTCTGCTGTAGAATATTAAAACATTCTAAAGGTACACACTAGTGCTTTTGCTCCTCGGACAAAGTGCCTTCTCACTGCTGGGAGTGAAAACAAGCACTTCAAACAACAAAGTAACCTCCTCAGCATAGTTATTTTCCAGGAGAAATGGGTCTGTGTCTTGTTTCTGTTGCTGGCGAGTAGGAACTTGCATTTGTTGGGAA